ATTCATTCATTCATTCATTGTTCATGGACAAATCTTCTTTCTTCTGGAAGTCTGTTATATTTTCTTGAGCTGCAACATAAGCATATGCATTTTAAAAAGATGAAGAACTGAGGGGAACCAGAAAACAGGAATGACCTTTTTTCATTATTTGAATAAACATTAAACTGTTTGTCTTTGTTATTGTATTTGTTATTGTATTATTTGGGTGATCAGTATTACATATGAAAGCACACTATAAATGCCTCATTCATTGTAGCACATCCTCTTGAGTAAAATAAGATGTAGAATAAAAACTCATGTAGGGCCTACATGATTAAATCATTTATTTTGTATGATTGTAGACAAGGGCTATATGAGATGAGAAAACAATTGAAACCCAAAACCAGCGTGTCGTCACAAATATTAAAATAGAATCAGATAATATGCATATAAAATGTTGACTTTTTTTTTTTTGGTACTAAGCTAAAAGTGTGTCAGGACACTCATCAGAGGAACAAGTATCAGCATCAGAGAACCACACAGACAAGAAGCCTCAGATACCGTCACTTGTTCTGGGACCCACTTATCTGTGAACAGGGAATATAATGCAATGTAGTGAAATGTAATGTATTCATAACAGAAATCATCAGAAACCTTTCTTACAAATGATTAAAATAAATGAGATGTTCACCTGTGTTCCCTTCAGACAACACCAGAGGACCCAGGGATATGGAAGCACTGTCATGGAAGTCCAGAGACCTGCGCTCTCTCCACTGGTGTCCAGAGCCACAGTCCTAATAGAGAAAAGAGCAAAATCCAGCTGTTTTATCGCACTTTATTGTGTTTAATACCCACGTACCCCACACCACTAATGCTACCCAAACGTATAATATGCACGTATCGTAATCCTACCCTAGGGGGTTTATAGTACGCATCATATGCACGTAAAAACTAATTTTCGCGTATAAATTGCACAATAAACACAATGCGTGCTATAGATGGTAATGGATCGAAGGAAAAAACTGAGAACGGGAGAATAATACTGTAACAATTTAACATTTATAAACAGCCCAGCAAGCAATATTATGATATAAAGTTCTTTGGCATAGGCCCCGTCCGTAGCTCGCAATCCGAGGGTCCGGACTCTGCATTTCCTCCCTGAAGACGAAGGCAGGAGCGCAGCCGACCCCCTGGGAGGTATAGGAAGGGACCATCTTGGTGGTGGTGGGGGAGGATGGAGGTGAGTGGAAAGGTCAGCATCTGCGAACTCAGACATGTGTAAGTAGGCTACCTCTTTTATACCGCAAGTTTTAGAACACGATTGGATAGATGAGGTATAAGTGACGTAACAATTGAGTCTTCCGGCAGAACCTATGCTAAAGCTTTCATTTTTGAGCGTATTTCTATCATTGTATCTTCTGCCTGTGTTTTAACCCTGTCTTGGATTACTGTTTATGACTCTTCTCTGGCTGCCTTAATCTCTATTTACCTGGACTCCTACTTCTGCTGTTTGCCCTGACCCACTGCCTGTTATAACCGCTGTCCTGCAGAGTTTAGCTACAACCTTAATCAAACACACCTGGACCACAAACAAGCTCTTCAGGATCGCTTGGGGAAAAAAAACTTTTTTATATAATATTAATAATCACAGGCCAGGTGAGCTGAAGCAGATTGGAAATAAACTTTGCAGGACAATGGGTCCCCAGGAGCAGAGTTGAAGCTACAGAATAAGTGTAAGACTGAATCCATGCAGGACTGCTCTCTCAAGAATGTTCTGGAATAGCGACACTAAAAGCAAAAATAATCGCTTCAGTTCAGAGTTCAAAAGTATATAAGTAATTATAATTATAAGTAATTATTACAGGGATATTTGAATTATTATGAATAATAATTATGTGGGGGTGGGTTTCCCCAATAAAACAAACAGTTATTAAAAAAAGAAAATTCAGGGGCGATCACTGGCAGGTGAGTTCATGTGTAATGTGCTTGGGTCATTATAAAATATTATATTATAGTTTAGGATTTGAACTCGGCTCCCTTCCTTTAAACAAATTACATCACTAGACTATCATGTCTTATTGTTGGTGCACCTTAAATGACCATGAGGACCCTGATTTTACGTTTAATAGACAAATTATTAAGCATTATGTAATATTATGTCAGTTCACAGACAGATTATAAAACACTCACCATTAATCATCAGCAGCAGCGACACACACAGTGAGATCAGAAACCTCATTGTGACAAACGGCTCCTACACAACATGAAACATTTAGTTATATTTATTTTTGTTTATTGTGTAGGTTTGTAAAAACAACTTAAATTATAGTTAACAGATATTTATAAAAGATAATTTCGTAAAATTATTTAGATCGGTCACTTGGGCTAAACAGGATCAAATGAAGAGAAGTATTTTTACCTGAGATCAGAGCAAACTTGGGGAGATTCTCTCTTCAGAAGTTCAACACAGTGATGCTGAACTGCAGATCTCACAATCTCATCAGTGTCTTAAATACCTGTAGGTGGACCTTTACTGGAAACGGGAGTAATCTCTAAACAATACCTTCAAGAAGCGTTTCATTTCTTTTTATTTTGTCAGAGATTGTATCGATGCTTGCCATTTAATTGTTTGACTTCATTGTGCAGCTCTATTGTGTACCGGCTGCTCTGATATTACAGTGAAAACAATAGTTAATGTATATGTTGACCTACAATCAGATCATGTTCCTCTTCATCTGGATCAGTAAGATTCCCAGCAACAACATATAAATATGTAATACAATCATGACATGAAGGATGGAACACTTTGGAAATTTCGAAAGGAAGGCGTGACCATCAGACAATGAAATGCTTTGTTAATAATTGTCAGCAGAGTTGCAAAAACAGGTTGAGAAGAAAAGACTGCAAAACACTAAGAATGAAGGCAAAGAATTAAGTGTGAAACCACCAGGAACCCTTTAGTCTCCAGTGTCACTATTTCCCAGAACTACAACCTATAGGAGTCTCCAGAAGTAGGTGTCAGTTTCTCAGAGACGGAGAACTGCCTAATTATCATACACAACTGAATAAAAGGCATTTCTAGCCCTCATCAACAATTACATATCGACTATAAATGATGATATATCATCTTAATAGTAATTAAGATTGATGTGGTTTGGAATTGGTAAAATGTGCTTTGAATATCAACTTGGGTTCACTGTACAATTTTGGCCACAATTTAGCCGTCTGAGACTAATTTTGAGAATCCTAAAAGATTTCTCTGATCTGAAGTCTTTAATGTCAAACTGTACGTACTAGCGATCAATGACAACTGAGATCTCACAGAGTGACATGTCTTACAGCGGGAATCATGTTCATACAGTCTGACAAGCTACAGTTGTAAAGGACTATTATAAATTGTACAGTGTGCACTCGGCTTTAATTATGCAAGCACTGAATATATGACAAATTAATTGGTTTATCACAGTACAATGACATCCTTGCTCAAGTTGTTATAGTGATTGAATATAATTCTAAACCATCATATAACAGGCCAAAAGGTCTCACATCAGAAGTTTATCCGTTTAGGAAACACTAGTAGAATAATCACGACATATGTTTAAAACAATTTACACCTGAAAGGAACATTTACATTCAACGTATAAATCTCACAGTGAACATCACACAACATGATCATAGCAGAGTTTATTGATAGATTTAGCAATCTTCCAAATATGTAATTGAAAAAAATGTCACCAACAAAAATGTATATAACATGTAGCAAAGCCCCTTTCACACAGCGCTTTGAACCTGGCAAATTGCCAGAGTGCCTTCTGTGTGAACGCAAACACGACCCGGGATTGATGCCGGGATCGATGCCGGGTTGGGGACCTAGTAACATTGCCGTGTTCAGACCCGGAACGCACGCTGTGTGAACAAAAGCCAGAACCAATGCCGTATAAGGGGTGTGTCGTAGTGAGGATTCACGAGCCTTTGCAATGACGTAGTTATCGTGCGACTCAGTTACTCTAGAAGAAAGTTTGTGTTCGTCATCGATACAAGAAAGAACGAAAAAATGTCTGCAAACTGGACTGAAGTAGAGACCCGTCACTTCCAACGTCACGCGTCTTTCCGGAACATACGTGGGTTGTGTGTGAACGCATTCTCTGATTCCGGCAAATCACTGGCAGTGTGAATGAAGCAAAATCAAACGAACCCGGGTCAAATCCCGGGTCACTTTATCCGTGTATTTTCCGGAATCTCTGTGTGAAAGGGGCTTTAGTGGCAACAAGTTATTACTGTTCTGCCCTTACACAAGAGTTCATTCAATAAATCACAGAAAGATTGACGCAGCTTAAAGCAACTTTCAGAAGTGTAAGTGAACTGGTATGACATGAACATACTGATGTTTCAGTCTCTTTCAAAAGTCAATGCAGCAGCACTGCAGGCCTCTGAACAAGCATTTCCAGGTACATTTATTTTATTTTATTTTTTTATTTTTTTATGGCTTTAGGAATATTCAAAAAGAGTGTCTAAGGACTGCATGTACATGAACTTATTGAATGCAGCCTTCAGTTTTTCTTCACTTTATTTAATTAAACTAAAACTAGAACAAATTAAGAATTTGGGTTACAGTATTTGAGCATTGACTAAACCTCATCGTATCTTACCTTATCAGAAAGAACAATTCAGTGCGGTGACATTCTTCAGAGCATTTACATTTTTAACCAAGTTAAAGAACTGAAAGTAATAGTAGAAAAGGAATGCTCATTGTTTTTGCATGATTTGAATAAACACGAATTTGTTATAACATGTCCTCTTCAGTAAAAATGTAATGACTAACGTAGTGTATAACAATTGTGAATGATTAATTCGTTAAGTAATTTGTTAATAATTAAATCATTTTTGGTGCTTGTAAGTAAACAAACAAAGGCTACACAACATCTATGACAAATAAACAATTAGAAACTCAAAACCAGTGTGGCATCACTGCCACATTCATTAAAATGGCATTAGACAATGTGCATGTAAGTTCTGTGGGATTAAGCTAAAAGTGTGTGAGGACACTCATCAGAGGAACAAGTATCAGCATCAGAGAACCACACAGACAAGAAGCCTCAGACACCTTCACTTGTTCTGGGACCCACTTATCTGTGAACAGGGAATATAGTGCAATGCAGTGAAATATAATGTATTTACATAGAAACCTTTATTTACAAATTATTAAAATAAATGAGATGTTCACCTGTGTTCCCTTCAGACAACACCAGAGGACCCAGGGATATGGAAGCACTGTCATGGAAGTCCAGAGACCTGCGCTCTCTCCGCTGGTGTCCAGAGCCACAGTCCTAATAGAGAAAAAAAAATCCCTGTTAAACATCATTGATATTTAATTCACAGTATAACCGTTTTTTCTTTGTGAAAGGAGTGCATAAGAACATCCTGCAGTGTACAGCCAAAACAAGTATTTTAGCAGCCTTTTAGATTCATTTAAAGCTTTACTATGTAACTTTTTTTGTTCTAAATAAACTACATTTTTAATAATTACAGAGCACATTGTGCATCCATCTTCCAAACAGTGTTTCCAACTTACCCTGAATCACTACAGTAAACCCATAATAATTATTTATATTTTGGAGCTGTCGGGATGCATTTCACAGGAAACTGCATACTCTATCATTCTTCTATGCGCGTTTACTTCATATCCGTAAATAAAGGACAGAAGGTCAGGCTACTACTATATGCAGTAGAAGGTTTCCTAGTAGCTTGAAGCCACAACAAATTAACCTCGAACTGAAGTGTTTGCAAGCAAAAAGGGAAAGCAATATAGAAATACCATAATAAAAAGACCAGTAATAAAAACACAAATCAGCATCGGCTTGGCTTTTCAGAAATACATTTAGTTTGCATTGCATCACATTTGCTGTGCATTTAGGGCAGATCACCTAACCCGTCCCCACCACTAACCCTAAATACACTGCAACTAAACTCCACTCTAGCAAATGCCTAACCCCAACTCTCCACTACAGGCCCCCATTTACATCAAGCGAAATCAAAGAACAAATTAGTGTGACGTCATTTAGAACAAAATCAGGCCAAAACAAAGATTGTTTTTGAGTCGTTTCAGGAGTTCGAAACAGCTTGCGAAAGCAAACTTTCAGAAAAAGTCCACTCCGGCTGGTAAACACCTTCGTAATACCATTGGTCCGTGGCAATTACATAATAGGTAGATGGGTGCTCTGTGGCTCCACCTTCTTTGACGTGGAAATCTTCTCCGGTTCATCACTATGATCAGAACTTTCTTAACTGCTGTTTTCTCACCGCTGTTATTTTTGTTGTGCGTTTATTTTGTTACTGAGATGAAAGCACGCACATACACCAATGAGCCAAAACATTATGACTACCTGAAAAATATGCTGTTGCAGAACCGACCCACCGAGGCATGGACTCTACAAAACCCCTGAATGTGTCCTCTGGTATCTGGCACCAAGACGTTAACATTAGCAGCAGATCCTTTAAGTCCTATAGGTTGCAAGGAGGAGCCAGAACATGTTGGTCCAGCACATCTCACAGACGCTCAATTGGATTGAGATCTGGGGAATTTGGAGGTCAGGGCAACATCTTGAACTCTGCACCATGTTCTTCAAGCCATTCCTGAACAATGTGTGCAGTGTGGCAGGGTGCATTGTCCTGCTGATAGAGGCCACTTCCACCAGGAAACACCATTGTCATTGTAGCGACTCTGACAGGGTATCCGGCCAGATGTGTCTAAATTGGCGAATCCTGATTTGCAAACAAAGCTCAGTTCTTCGTGAGTAAACAAAGAGCATTCTGTATACGACCCCCTTCGGGCATGTTGACCAGCAGGGGTGCCACTATGGCTGGAGTCTCCCTAGCACATGACACATTGAAAACAAGCCAAGCGTTGTGGTCACCCGTTCCCCTGATGGAAACCTCGCCGTCTCACGGGACACACATCCACACAAACCACACAACACACACACATACACGAACTTTGAACATTAAACTTAGAGTATAAGCATGTCAATGTTTCCTATACTACTGTGTGTTTCTCAGTTTATATTCACTGCATGTATGACGCTTGTTCGAAGGAACAAACTTGCTTTGAAGGAACTAAATGCTTATAAAATGCATATCTTATGTAACTCTGTATTCCTATAATCTTCATGTGACGTGTTTGATATCTCTGTAATACTCTCAATCTAACGGAGCCGAATTCCGATAGCAGAATGCAGTAATGTGCATTCTTTTACACATTTCATAGTGCTGGAGCCGAACGGCTCAACACAAGCTCCTCAGTCCAGTGGGCATCCCCCACAGGACAAAGAAAACTTTGTCCGCTTCAGATTCGCGGACGGTCATGGGTGGTTCGCGCAGACAGAGGCGTGAACCCCTCCTCTAAGAGACTGACACAGAAGTTTCACAGAGAGCTTTTTCCCTGTGAGAGGTTTCCGGTTCCATGGCTCCTTAGGGAGCTTTACACCGTGTTTCTTCTTTTCTTTAGTCTTTCTTTATTTTCGTCTTCGGACTTTTCTTACGTTCAGTTTCAGTGAAATGAACGTAATCGGCAACTTCAACTTTAAAGAGACTCTTTGAACCTTCAGCGACCGCGCTCGACCGGAAGAGACGAGAAAGCACGCACCCGCTCGTAAGCACACACACGGAAGATTCGGTTCTCCTCGGCAACACAAAGAGAACCATTGTGCAACTCTCGCTCTCCTATCCCTTCGACGCTTCATCAGTCCCTGTTTCATTTCTTCTTGCGAGGAAAATGAACACAGCTGAACTCAACCGGCAACTGCACCTCAATGGACATTCAAACTAACACGCTTTGCCCGCTCTGAAAGACCACGTGAACGCATGACGCGAGGACAGAGACACACACATGCTTTCGTTCTCAGCCCCACGAGAAAGAATCATGCAAGTATCGCAATTCCTATCGATCTAAATGCTTTAAGATCTGTTTGCCCCATTCAGGGGATTTGATCTGTGTGTCTCTCAAGGTTACGTTGTGACTTTTGCCACAAGAAGATCTCTCCAGATCTTCTTACTCTCAATCTCTCTCTCCCTCAATCTCTCTCTCTCTCTCTTTCTCTCTCTCTCTCCCTCTCTCTCTCTCTCTTCCCAACTCTCTCTTTCTCTCCCTCATTTTTATCTTCCTCTCTCATCCAATTTATTTCGTGTTTGTAATGTTTTTCGTTTTGTTTGTTCGGGTGTATACACGTATATATTCTGTGTGAAATTGTTGTTCAATGTATTATTAGTCCAATTATTAAAGCCATTATATTCTTGATTGTTTCTGTCTAAAAGCTCATATTTACAAGTCAATGAAATGATTGATCTAGCTACAAAAGCTTTATTATTGACTACTTTGAGTAGTTCAATTTTATAAACACAGGAAAATTAATGTTCACGGCCAGAAAATTGATATTTCTTGGAATTTATAAAAAGGGATGACTTTGTTGAGAAGTTGGTAAGTTAATCTTATGGCTGTTTGCTGGACAAACCGATTGTTTGATAATTAAATTAATTCCCTTAAAGTTATCTCATATAATCGATCTGTAATGATACCATTGATATATGAATGAGGAATTATAATTCGTTGTGATTGATCATTCATATATACAATCGATCTATTTTCAATTTCGATAATTTAACTGTAACATGCAATATATTAATCATATTCATGATTAATTATTAAAATTCCCTATATATATTTTGAGCTAATTAATGCAGTACCCAATGTTGCTACATCATGAAGGGGTGTACCTGGTCTGCAACAATGTTTAGTTTGGTGGCACGTCAAATTTAAGTCCACATTAATGGCTGGACCCAGGGTTACCCCGCAGAACATTGCCCAGAGCATCACACTCCCTGCACCGGCTTGTCGTCGTCCCACAGTGCATCCCTGTGCCATTACTTTACAATCACATGGATGGTTGTGTATGTGGTGACTGAGACAGATCAGACACACAATTATTTGTTATATTTAACAAATACCCACTACCCTCACCCATGAAGCAAACCATGAGGTAGAGTTCAAAGGGACTGCCCCGAAACGCAACTAACACCACAAATACAGAACCAGGCATTGGTTACCATGGCTCAAAGGCACATCAGCAAGATAAGTTTTAAAAATCAAAGGAATCTAGAGTTTTCCCTGTCACTTCATTCTTTAGGAAAGACAAGATATATAATGCCCATAAATGCTCCATTAATTCATAGACAAGTCTTTCTATGAATGAACACGCATATCCCCAGGATATTGTGTGCATTATTACTGTTTTGTATATTGTCTTTTGCATTGTATACTGTTTTATGCATGACTTATGATATAACTATTAGTTAATGTAACCTTATTGGTATCATGTTTCATGTCAAAATGATCCTTGTTTAATTGATTGCACATTGGAGTACATCACCTCCTCATAGAGTTCATGCCTGTTATATTAATCAGAGTATAAAGGGAGAGAAAACCGCCAGCCCACTCTGATAGTACAAATGAGTCAACTTTTAAACAAAGGAATTTTTCCCACTTGAAATTATACCCTTTTCATTGGTCAAGCGAAACTGGAGAGGTGCGACCTCTGCAGAACTTAAAAGAGACTATCTCCTGAGGCTTCGAGTTGTTTCTGTTGAAAAGAGTATAGACATCAGGTCCGACCGCAACGCCACAGGACTTCCCCGCGCCGGCGGGGCCTCAAAGTTACAATAAGCCATATTGTAACTTTCCACCCGGGAAAGAGGACTCTCCGACAACTAATTTACTAAGAAAACAGGATTCATTGGACCAGGCGACCTTCTTCCACTGCTTCAAGGTCTAGTTCTGACGCTCACATGCCCATTGTAGGTGGACAGGAGTCATCATAGGCACTCTCATTGGTCTGCAGCTAGAAGGGTGCAATGCAATGTTGTGACAGATTCCTCCCATAACCATCATTTAAAATTTGCGTTTTGAATGATCACGCCAATAACGAGAACTGATTGTTGGCTTAGCATCTAATCTACCAAGACCTTAATATTTGACCTTGTTAGCAGATGATCAACAATATTACCTGTGACTGTTCATAATGTAATCAGAGTATAAAGGGACACAAAACTGCCAGCACAGTGTGTTTCGATATTCATTTAGATATTCATCTAAACACCATTCTCAGCAGTGTGGGTGGCGTAGAGATGTTCCTTAACAGTATATCGCTGCAAAGGTATTTCTAACGAAAAATAACTTTGCGTTGAGTATATCGGGGCCTTAACCATAACCATCAGAAGTAACTTTTTTATGCTTCAAACACTATAGTACATAGTGTAGCTTTAACTATAATTTTTATATATTTAAATGTATCTGTTACTTTAAAGGAACACTCCGACTTTTTGGGACTTTAGCCTATTCACCTTATCCCCCAGAGTTAGATAAGTCCATACATACCTTTTTCATCTCCGTGCGTGCTGTAACTCTATCTGAACTCTATCTGTAATTCTCTGAAGGCGAAGCACTGCTACTTGGGCGGAGTGATAACCGCAGCACCTGAGACGCGCCGTGGTGAGGAGCAGAGAGTTCGTTCAGAGTTTGGGTACGGTACGTCTCAGGTGCTGCGGTTATCACTCCGCCCAAGTATCAGTGCTTCGCCTTCAGAGAATATAGTTCCCAGTATTTATCCGGTTTAAATATGTCTGTGTCTAATGTGACTTTGTTTTTTGTACACTCTGTGACTATACAAATCACAACATGTAAATAGGAAAATGTTTGCGCTATTTTGTCACTTATTTGGATTAGTATGCTAGCTGCAACCATTTACATCCAGTCTTTGTGCTAAGCTAGGCTAGCGGTGGGTGCGTCAAACAGACTTATAGCACGCACGGAGATGAAAAAGGTATGTATGGACTTATCTAACTCTGGGGGATAAAGTGAATAGGCTAAAGTCCCAAAAAGTCGGAGTGTTCCTTTAACATCAATATGGTGATGTTAAAGTAATAGCAATAGATCCATTACAATTCAGTACCACTATGAGAGGTTTTGTTATCTTACCATTGAGCAGCGATTGCTTGACAGAAGGCAAAGGTGGACAGCGCAGTGCAGGTAAAGCCTAGTGGAGTTTGCAGTGAAGATAAACATCCCAAAGGAGAAACGGCTGGATGTCGAGACGCCGTTCTGCAGCAGATCCACTGTGCCGTCATTTGGATTGGGACACCTGAGAATATCAATAATGACAGATTCTTTGAAACAGTCAATACAAAGTGATCTCCTGTAAATCATCACACATTTGCATTCCATGTACAAAAAATGGAATCTTGTGATTTAATTCTGAAATACTGAAAGACAGGGGGCCCTATTTTAACGATCTGAAACGCAAGTGTCAAAGCGTAAAGCGCAAGTAACTTTGTGGGCGGATCCCGGCGCTGTTGCTATTTTCCCGGCGGGATAAATGCCTCTTGCGCCTGGCGCAAATCTAAAAGGGGTTGGCCTGAAGTAGCTTCATTATTCATAGGTGTGGTTTGGGCGTAACGTGAAATAAACCAATCAGAGCGTCATCTCACATTCCCTTTAAGAGCAGGTGCGCTTGTTCTAAAGCGGATTCCTATTATAACGGCGGATTTGCCAGGCGCGCGCCAGGAGCTGTTCACAGCCGAGGAGAGCAGCGTTCTCGTCAGAGAAGTGACATTGGGGATGGAGAAACCCACCCAAATTAACTTCTGTTAAACAGGCGTATGATAATTTGGGTAAATGTGTAAGCTACATGCTTTTATAATAAATTATCTTTCTATCTATCTATCTTTCTATCTATCTATCTATCTATCTATCTATCTATCTATCTATCTATCTATCTATCTATCTATCTATCTATCTATCTATCTATCTATCTATCTATCGTAATAATGTATGATTTGCAAAAATGAAAACTGCTGCTTAGATGAGAGAATCAACGTGTATGCGCGTTGTGCACACGCTACATTGATTATGGCCAAGCATGCGCCCTTAAAATAGCATAATGAACAACGCGCAACGCGCCACTGACTTTAGACTAGTTTTTTTCTGGTCAGTGGCGCATTTGTTTTATAGAACAGCAAAATAGCATGAGGGAAAGTTTGCGCCGGAACACGCCTCCTCTTTGCGCTGAACCGCCCCGGGGAGCGCAAGTGTATTTCTTAGTTAACCGACGTGCGTCTGTGGAGGGAAAAGTCCGCTTTGCGCGGGTGCAAAATAGGAATGATACATGCGTCAGTGTACAAAGTCATTTGCGCCGAGTGCAAGATAGGGCCCAAAGTGTCTATGACAATCCTAAAACTGATTTGATTATTATTTTTTCAGTAAATAATGTTTCATTGAGTTAAGGCTAAGCTTAAAAGAATAGAAAGAATCCCTGCTTTACTCTGAAAGGATGAGATCCCAGCGGAGGCTGTAATCGGGATCATTCACAGGTGTAGCCCAACACGTGTTCATCACCAGGGCGAACTGGCGGCTGTCGACCCCCTCAACACGAACTTCCACATGCATCTCCTGGTCGAGTTCTGCATCCACTCTACCAGTGAAGGGCCGGGTAAACTCATCATCCTCATATGGGATCATCCGGACCCGATATCTGCCTTCACCAGCGGGGAGCATCTTGCGCACCATGCTGTTGAAATGTTCAAGATCCATTTAAAAAGAAAAAATTGCCTCAACTCAATCTATAATTAGAAATGTAGATTAATACATTTGTATTACATTGTATAAAAATTAGGAAATGTATGTAAATATAATATAGTGCATTAGCTGTTCCTGCTTAAAAAATTCCCACCTCTCCAGTGGGTTTATCTCCACATTCATGGAAAGTGTTTGTGATTGAGGATAAGCACAGCTGAAAGAAAGCTTAAGGATTTTATCTCTGCTGATGAGACCTTCACCTTCTGATCTCGGTGTCCCCAGAATAAAGTTATCATAGATGAAGTGGGTACTGTTAGCCTGTGGACAACAAATGTAAAATTTTGCAGTTTAGCCTAAAATGAATTCAAGGTATTGCAACAGCTGAAACTAAGCCAAAATTTCCTTCAGTCAAGAGAAATATTGGTGGGTTACATATTAATGGTGGAGAATGTGGGCAAATGTTCCTGAATCTCTCTTTAGGGCAGTCTGTTTGGGACCTTCACTTGGTTTGTTACAGATTCTTCAGTACCCTTACATACAGACTTCTCAAAGTCTCATAGAGATTCCCCAAGTGGTCAAACTCTGTTGGTTCCATCAGGCAATACAAATAATTGGATGGTATATTTGAATAGATTTTACATAGTTAGACCTACCAGAAGATTTGTTCCACAGATGTGTTCATCATTATCAAAGAGGAATTCCACTCTGCCATTCCGGACCGTTCCTTTGCAGCTGGGATCATTGAGGTGTAAGACATCAGCTGGAAAACCAGCCTCAAAGAGCTGACAGCGAGACACAGATATAGAGCCAGAGCTGCTTTCACAGGTTTCTGAGACATCTGAGAGAAAAAGCAAAGCTAATTAATGACTGAATATTGTATTAATATTTTAAATTTAGTTGTGGAATGATACCAACCAAAAGAGTCAGAATGTGATTGTGGTGTGTGATGGTCCTTTTTACATAAACAGCCGTAAACACCATTTTTCATCCCACAGCTTTCGTTCTCAGAACAGCTGAGTTCAGAACAAGGATTTCCATCAACTAGAAGGGGAAGCACAGAGAGATAAAATACAATTCTTCTTATTTTTCTTTTCTGCAATTAACCTCTGTTCTAGCTTGCTTCCAAGCGTTCAAATAAACCTGGAATTGTACTCTATGAATATTGCTGGCTGTGTGACAAGCTGCTTATGTTACACTATTTGAAGTCGCTTTGGAAAACAGTATCAGCTAAATGCACCTCACTAACGTAAAGAAAACTTCCACCTTTACCATAGCTAAGCGTTGTGTGTACAAAATCTTACACCCTGACCGATTACTGCTCTTGGTTTTAAGTTTAAAAAAAACTCTAGTGAATTAAATGGATCTTTTTAACATGTATAATAATTTCCCTCTTGAGGTCCAATGATAATAATAGTCTGAGTTTTTCAACAAACTTTGCAACCACCTGAACGTTAGAATTAAATGGGGGTTTTTTGTATTGTTGTTTTTCTGTGCATTTACGATTTTTAGCTCCATGCATGCAGATGATGAGACTTTATTTTTTTTATTATTATATTTTATGAATACACTAGACTAGATGAACTAGGCCTATGTGGGCACATGATGAAGCCACACACATAAAATATTTGTTTAATAACATGTTTAAACAGATGCATTATATTCATTCAAAACATTGCATAGAATTATATGAAACTTTTCAGAAAAGTTGGCTATCAAAACAAAACCTTATTGTTTTTATCTATTTCTAGACAGATAAAACTCTTACCTTTAGAGAGGCTGTGTCCACCATCCACCCTGAAGGCCCAACGGCCTGTAACATTGACATTACTGGACCTCTTGAGGTTTGGAATAAAGCTCCCGTTGACTGATCCAGGGATCACAAAGTAGTGTGTGGAGTTTACAGTGTCATAACCAGCCTGTATAATACACGTAAAAAAATGCAAATTGTATATTTAAATCGTACACATACATACATACAATATAGTATTGAATAGTGACATTTTGTTCTGATACAGAAAAGTTTCTTTTACCTCCACCTGACGTCCTGTTACAGAAATGTCACCATAATTCATCAGAATAAATGAAAAATGACTGCCTGAAATTAAAACCACTTGAAACGATGTTTCCTGCAAAGATTGGAAAAAAGCATAATCACTCTTAGTGTTCATTGTTCATTATCTTTATACAAAATGTTCATATTATTCAATGTTAGTATCAGTCATATTATTTCTCTTATTTGTATGAACATTACTGTATGATCTCATTGTTATAATTGTTTTATTTAAATGGAATTTAATTTAGTAAAAACAGACACATTTCAGAAGCATAATCAAACTTACTGTGCTAGACATGGATAAGTGAGGGACTTTATCCCACGTTGCAACAAAGACCCAAGAAGCATTGAAGGTCAGATTTGGGAAATGATTGTGTATATCCAGAGTGGCGCGTGTGAGAACACTTCCATTAGTGTACTGATTAAATGAAACCACACCTCTCGCACTGTTGTCAAGGTCGGTCCAGAGACCAGCAATTATGTCTTGGCTTCCATAAGAGGGAAAGGAGTAGGGAAAATACTGTGATGAAGACTGGTTGAATGTGAGGTGTCCATTATTATTCACCTGAAACATGAAAAAGTCAAAGTCACAGCTACAGATGAGCTTATAAAGCAATCACTCACATTAAGACTTAGAATCAAGTTGATCCTTACATAAATCTGCTGGTATGTTCGGCCAAAGAACAGAAAAGGCCTCAACAGCTGAATTTTAGAGGAGCTTCCATCATCAGCAGCAGCATTTCTTGTGTCTCCTGATGAGCCGAAAGGGTAGAATATTTCTGGTGCTGCTGTGAGAATGAACAAAAAATACAGAAGATTTGACATTCACATTTCACAGTGATTTCACAGAAAGAAACAGTGCCACACCTGCGCAGCGCATAACTTTGGGAAGGCAGAGAGTGTTGAAGATTTTATTATTCAGAAAACAAGTAATTTAGCCATATAAGAATACACAATTATTTCTCTGTCTAGGCAACTTTGAAAGCTGCAAGACCTTCTGTAAAAAGATCCTGAATGTCAATTCTATTCTGAGAAGTCACATGGTACAAGACCTTCACCCAAAAATATCTATAAGTGTATGACCATCTTTGGAAAAGGATGTATGGATATATGTGAGAAGCTGGGCACTGTTCAGGAGTGATCGCCTGCAGGAGGAAGGGATCTCCTGCTGGAGGGAGTGATCCCCTGCAGGAGATGCTCGGCTTTGTTTGTTAATAAAGTCTAATATTTCTGGCATCAAAGATCTCTGCAAAGTTATTTTACAGAACAATTGAAACCACTTCAAGAGCAAGCAAGCTTGCCCTTTCCACCCCATACTTAACTTTTTCCTTTTACTATATATCCCATCAAACAGAACTGATTCTGTTCCAAATGTATAAAAATATTGTCTTGTTACTGTTTACCATGAAATTTCACAGGTCTCGTCAAATAAGGACAACCGGCCAGACAAGCAGATGAGTTAATACATGTTGTCACTAACAAAAATACTTAAGGTCTCCATTCACAGGTAAAAGCAGCCTGGAAATGGTTCACTCCACAAACAAGGTCCAGTGGGGTGCGGTTGTGATCTGAGGAAAAT